GGGCATCTCGTCACAAGGTACAACTGTCAGCCTTGGATCGTCGGTTAATGCAGCCATTGACACCGGAACGACGCTCATTGGTGGTCCCGCGTCGATCGTCGCCGCCATCTACGCCGCAATTCCGGGCAGTCAAGCTATGACTGGATCATACGCAGGCTATTACGAATATCCTTGTTCGACTGCCATCTCGTTCAAGATGACCTTTGGCACATTCACGGTCGAAATTACACAAGCCGATTTCAACATCGGTAGTTTTGGGGTTGACGGATCGATGTGCATCGGGGGTGTCTATGTACAGTCCCTTTCCTCGACTTCATCAATCCAGTGGATCGTCGGAGACACGATGCTGAAAAACGTATACAGCGTATACCGTTATTCCCCTGCTGCTGTTGGCTTTGCTAAGCTGGCTTCGGACACTACCTCGACGGGCTCAAGCTCTTCCTCCTCTGGATCATCGGCGTCGTCAGCATCATCCGCCTCAGGCGCAAGCAGCAGTATTCCGTCATCGAGAGCGTCATCAACGGGCTCGACATCGGGCAGTGCAACTCTCGGAAGCGCTGTCAGTAGCGGGACGATGTCGGGTACGTCTAACGCCTCGCAAGCGTCTGCCTCCAGCTCCAGCTCTGTAGCATCTGGTTCTACTGCTTCAACGGTGACCAACTCCGATGGCGTTTTCATCGGTACTTCAACCACCATGAGGGAAGCCTCTGTACCCACGGCCATAGACAGCACTGCCACCAGCACCTCAGCTTCGCCAGCTACAACTTCGTCGAGTGCAAGTGCGGCGGCGGCAGTCTTCACTATGGGCTACATGCAGGTAGCCTTGGTTACAGGTTTCACTATTTTCGGTATGGTCCTCCTCTAGGACATCACCTTCCTATTGATGGTTCAAAATGCCTCCTCTTTGGCGGCTGTGTATCGGTACCTCGATTATCCCTGGGTTCTATGTCGTGGAAGACAGTCATATCAATACCCAAAGCCATCCGTTTGGAACCCCGCGCATTTCAGCATCATTTTCATCAACATAGGACGTTCCGAAAACTACTGTGTCATATGCTTTGTATTTGACTTTTCAGGCAACTCGAGCTCAAGAATAGCAGGAGTACTGGCGCGAGAAGGTCTCGGTTCCATTTTGTAGACTGCAAACTGCCGCTCGCATGCATTTATACCTGCCTGTGCGCTTTCATCAGAAAAGTTCCTCGCTGGTTGAGAAACCAGCATGCCTAGAGACTTTTGGCGGTTTCCTTCAAGTGGGATATTTATAGTTATTGTATACACCAGAACGACATCTTAGACCAATGCATGCAGAATACATGATTTGACAGAGAATGCCAACATATGTTTGGCCTTTGACTGTTTCTCCTGCATTTCTTCCAATGCAACCTGTGCGCTTACCGGTCGGACGGACGCTTAAGGCAGCAACCCTCCTCGCATTGAGTAACAATGGAAAGGAGCAGTTCCTACACTGAAGTGACCAGAGGAAGTCATATATGTACTGCTGCGTAGTTCAGTGTCGCATATAAGGGACAGGAGCCGGACCATTTATGGTAACAGTACGGTTAGCACATTCTGTATGCAGGGCGGTAGTATAACGTAGCACGCGAAAACTCAGTCGCAATCTCAATTCAGAGGCTTGAAATGTCGGAAACGATCGAACTTCTTCCTGCATGCCCGAATGTTTCTTGAGCAATCGTTGACCTTATTACGCACATAGTACCAGGTGTGCGACGTGCCGTCAGAGACCGGTATTGTCCCTCGTACACTCTCACTGGATTCTCTGTGACGATTTTTGCTAAACGACACTCGGAGCAATGGACGCTAACCAGCCAGAGACACCCAGGGCGACCGTTGACGAAATCGACGTCGATATCGGATTCCAGGTCAGTCTGTTCTTTGGGAAGGTGAAAACGTCCTATCTGATCCATCAAATGTTGGTGGTACCATCTCCAGCCCCCGACAGAGCCTATATTACAGGCTCCGTTGGCTAGTTCGATTTTTCGGGATGCACGGGAGCCTGCATACCGACCTGGTATGTGATTCGTCATCTGCTCGTTGCCTAGCCGTAGACATGTAATGACTTACTCTGCTCATATCACATCTGTCTTGGCTATTCGGTTTTGTAGGAGGGGAAGAGTTGCGGCAATGGCAGGAGGAAGAGTTTCAAAGGAAGTTGCGAGGTGAATATGAAGCAGCGCAACGGCGAATCGGTGAAGTAGTAAGTTTACTGGCCATATCAAAGTCCCTTCTAAACTCCCTGCGTACCTCATTAACATGTGTCAATTCAACAGGTCACTGAATCACTCGACCATCCTCTTCACCTTTCCTCCATCCGAATCGTTAATCCCCCGAAAACGACCCGATCGAGCTTCTTGAATTCTTTGCTCAGCCCCTTCATTTCGCCCATTCCGCAATCGAGTTTCTTGCCTTCATGGCTCAATCCTTCGGTATCATACGGATTGGAATCTTCCACACCCCCGAAAACTCTTCACGAGATTCTGTATACCACTAAACTACTGACCACCCATCTCCGGCGGTTCGATATCTTCCAGGACCAAATCGATGTCAAATTGGAACCCGCAAGGGGTGGAGTAATCGGAGACGTGGACCTCGTCTTGGGTATCCGAGAGAAGGGAAGAGTCTTCCTAAAGGCTGGTACCGAAGTTGGAGGTGGTGAGGGTGGATTCGTAAGTATATGGCTTGTTACATCGGACGATTATTGACAAGCAGTCCGATCATTCTTCCTCTAGAACGTAACTGGTCGATTAAGAAACGTCTTCGGTGGAGCAGAATCCCTGGAGCTCAATGCCTCCAAGGGGACGAGAACAAAATCAGCTTATCAGGTGAATAGGAACGTTTCGGAATTTCCTGACAATCAGACCTGACCTGATATTTCGTACTCGTAGCTGAACTTCACGACACCCGTCGCCTCGTCTCCTTTATTGGACTTTACGCTGTCAGCGTTCGCTCTCAATAGAGATCATTCTGCGTTCGCTTCCCACTTGGAGCAGTCTCAAGGTGGTCGAGTAAAATTCAGCGTAAGTCTTTGCTATGAGAATTGCGTTGCGCGGTTGCAATCAGTGTAGTTGACTAGGAGGCATTCTCATCAATAGGCACGGGCGCCATGGGGAGCACATGACGTGACATACGAACATGTCCACCGAAACATTACCAACCTCGCCAAAAATGCGTCTCTCTCGTGGGTCTTCTTGCCGCTTAACTCTTTGAGACGCTAATGCTGATCTCCAATTGTCCATAGCATTCGAGAACTTGCTCAGCCATCAACAAAAGCGAGTGTGACGCATACATTCACCCGGGATACTCGGGATGATCCGTGGATGGGAACTGCTGGCTCTTTGCTAAAAGTTTCTCATGTAAGTTCTGATATAGCATTTTAAGGTGCGAATTCCGTGTCTGAATGTTGCTTGCGGTTTTTCAGGAGTATGCTGGACTCCCAGGAAGCTCTGAACACGTTAATTTCCTTAAATCAACAGCGCAGTCTCAGCTCTCACGTGCTCTGATCCCCGGTTCAGGATGGGTAAGGCAATTTCTTCTTTCGATAAGATTCGCTGCTAACTTCATACGCATCATGCAGCATTACTCGATTTCCTCCCTCACGACGATGTTGATCCCCCTTAGCGCTTCTCGTGCAGCCACACAATTGCCAGATCGTGTTTTCCTCGGCGGACCTAACAGCATTCGAGGCTGGAAAATCGGTGGCATCGGATCCCGGGATGGAGGTATGTAATGTTTTCAAGAATATTCTTCCGGCGCTGTTAGCATATTCAAGGCTAAGCAATTTCTGTTTGACAGCGGATTCCCTCGGGGGCGATCTCGCTTGGGCACTGGGCCTTTCCGTCTTTGCTCCCTTCCCTACCAAAAAGGAGTGGCCAGTCAAGCTTCATGGTTTCGTGAACACCGGTAGAGTCATCGGCTGGGAATCAAGTAAGTTTCTATACGTATTCACTCCACGCTGTGACTAATTAAATGTCCGTTTAAGCGCAATCATTTGCCAATAATGTGGCCCGAATGTACAACACTCCGAATATGAGCGTCGGCCTCGGTTTGCTTTATCGACTCGACCCTATCAGAGTTGAAGTCAACTTTGCTCTCCCGCTTGTGGGACGCAAGGGTGAGGGTTGGGCGAGAGGCCTCAACGTCGGTATTGGTCTGGAGTTCCTTTAGGATGTTCCAGGGTATAGATCGCCTGAATTGCACCAAATCTGTAATAAGAGGAGCCACCTATCATCATGAAACTTGAATTCCCAGAGTCGCGCCAACGAAGGCTTCAGATGAGACCCATGAACGTACCTCTGTTCAAGCTCGACTTAACAGCTCGACGTTAAAGGAAACAATGTCCGAGGGATTTTTCTATCTTCTCTGATTCATGTAGGCAGTAGGCATCACGGGGAGTTGCAGGAGAGCAAGTCGCTCAATGTCGGACGCATTCGTATTATCTTCGATGGTCACCGTCGACAGGATTGACAGCGCCACCAGGTCGCGCTTAGAGCGATATGAGAAGATGTTACTTAGCCTTTGTGTTGTTGGGTTCCAGCACACATCGGTCTTAGCTTCTCAGATGGCCTGATATTTATCTATGTAGGGCGAAGTGGCGTGACTGTCCAACGCGTCACAAACTACGGAGAAGCACAGTCGACGTGCAACCGCCGAGATCCAGATCTTATTTGTAAGTAGTAAGAGGAGATACCTGTTTTGGCTGAGAATCGTCAAGCAGGGATGCCAACCCAAAAGAAAACGTGCGTATCATCACCGATTCGTTCGGTCGGCTGCATCCCGTGCTTGCGGGTTCAACATTTGACAATGCATGGGAAGAGATAAAGTGCGCTGCGCTCCAAGCCTCACCAAAGTTCATCCGGTCCGACCTGCAACATCTCGTACAAGAGAAAGAAGCAAGGTTGTTCATTAAGGACTCGGAAAGAGGTGGGTGTTCCTCTCAGGCAGGAAGAGGGGGCTTTGGCTAGCCAAAAAGACAAAAAGAAATGCTCTCTCGCCGAGAATCGAACTCGGGGCGGGCGCGTGACAAGCGCCAATGTTACCATTACACCACGAAAGACTTGGATGCTTATCAACAAGGTTGTGATGTTCAATAAGTATCAGTTTGCAACTCCACACGCCGGGTCTTTCGGTGTCGCCCGATCGCTTGATTGATCTCTGAGTAATAATCCTGACCATTCGAACGCTCTGTACTCAGCTTCACTACTGGACCGCTGTATCTTCCGTTCAAAGATGACTTTCATCCGCCATCTGCAGGTCCCAAAATACGGTGGTAACCCACTCTCCACCGCCTTCCAGTACCACCGCCTATTCTGTGCATCCTCAATAGCAAGAAATGAAGTGCCATTCGGGTTGAAGGCGCCTAGTTCTGAAGGGGAGTCCTTTGAGTGGTATTCGGAGGAGCTGCAAAGAAGGAAACGTAAAGCGGATTACAAGAGGCGTCAACATGTATGTTATGAGGGTCATACTACGATAGCTTAGGCTCACCCGTGGACCTCAATCTAGGGTCAAAGCTTCTTAGATCATCTGATTGTGACAGTTCGAGGAGGTGTGTTCCCAGAATTCCAGAGGAGAAAGGCTGCAGGCTAAATTCCACTCACAGGTACTGGAGGATCAGGAGCAGCGGCATTCGTCCCCATGAAATCCTCATCGTTAGGACCGCCCTCCGGTGGCAACGGTGGATCCGGAGGTGACATATATCTTATGACTTCACCGCATATCACCTCCCTCGCATCGGTCCCGAAGCGAATACGTGCTGGCAACGGCCTCAACGGACAAGGCTCGTACAAACATGGTAAACGTGGAACAGATACTATCATTCAAGTACCGGTCGGGACGGTAATTAAAGAGATCACGAGGGAAACCGAGGCCCAAAAGCTACGGCGAGACGAAGCGGCCTTGGATATGGATGAAGAAGAGCGTGAACGCGCGAAACGAGCTCGAATATTCATCAAACATCCAACTGGAGAGATCACCGACGATGATTACTACCAAGCCGAGCGATTATTGGCGAAAGAAGCTAGGAGTATGGGCCTCCACGAAGCAGCACAGGCAGCACAAAAGATCGAGATGGACATCGAGAAACCGCTAGAGAAGCCCGTACTGATTGCTTCTGGAGGTCGAGGAGGACTAGGCAACCCGCACTTTATGGATTCGGCGAATCCGCAGCGACCACCAAGATTAGCGTCGCGAGGCAGTACACCACCTACGATCACACTCGCCCTAGAACTTAAATTGATTGCGGATGTAGGCTTGGTGGGATTTCCGAACGCGGGCAAGAGCACAATACTACGTGCGCTCACAGGCCGGAGAGCTGAAGTCGCAAATTACTCTTTCACAACGTTGAATCCACAAGTGGGAGTGGTCAGAGTGATGGATGACGGAACCTGGAGGTCCGATATCGGGGAGGGAGATGTGATAGACGAAACATGGAAAGAACGGGCTGAGGAACAGCAATCAAGGGATTCCTACGAAGAGGTTGAACGCAAGAAGGATCAAACGTCTGAAGAGAAAACCATCGAACGAATACGCTTTACAATGTCAGACAATCCAGGACTATTACCCCTCGCTTCCGAAAACTACGGACTTGGCCATTCGTTTCTCCGGTCAATAGAGCGATCCGTCGCTCTAGTATACGTTCTCGACATGACACGACCGTCCCCAGCTGCCGACCTGGCAACTTTGGAGCACGAACTCGAGGTCTACAAGACTGGATTGGCTAACAAGGCTATGATGGTGGTCTTGAACAAGGCCGACGAGGTAGCAGAAGACACAGGAAGACTTCGACTGGCGGAACTAAGCAAGGCTATTCAGGATTTGCAGAAGAACGGACAGCATATGGAATTGGTAACGGTTAGTGCCAAATATGGGTTAGGAATGCCAAAGGTTGTAGCGTGTCTTGCCGATTATATAGAGGGAGCCCGCGCCAAGCTCAAGGCCGACACCGAGAGTTTGTAGGCTATGCGACACGATATACCCTTCCCTGGCCCAAATTCTACATTGCTCAAGTCCACTGGTGACCTCCCGAGGAATAGTGATAACCATGCCGGACGGGTCCCCAATAATACACACACGCAACTATACAAGCTTCTTGTTCTCTGACGGCAACGTCTCTTGTCCTCCCGTCCACCTCTTGAACCACTGGGTGACGTCCAACGCATCACCCCATGTCGAATCCGTCTTATGCACCATCGTCAACACAAGCACCACGGGCAGCTGCCACAAACTAACCCAGAACAATCTTCGGGCCGTTTTGTCATTCATCCGTCTCCAGAACTGCCATGCCCTGCCTAGCATGACTCCGTTCGGAATCGCACTCGTGAGAGCGAATGTCCACGTGACGGCTCCCGTCATAGGTGCGATCAGCGAACAGAACGGCAATAGCAAGAACGAATGGCGCAGTGAAACGACCGCGTTCTTCTGTACGTTCGTGACGGACATCATTCGGTAGCATGAAAGTGCGTACGCGCGTCGAATGAGGTACGATAACGAGTTGAAGTGTGGGAACTGCCATGAGAAGAGCAACATGAAAAGCGTCCATGGTACAAGCGGGTTCGGAGTGGAGACTTCGCTGGCGGAAACAACGGTTCCTCGAGCATAGTCTATGATCGTGGCGTCGGCTGGATACATCCAGATCGGTTTGCGAACTTCAGGCTGTACAACACCGTTGATCCGGACAGCATCATCTTCATTCGGGTCCGAGTCTGAGACATCGGTAGTGTCGAGGCCTAACATGCCGGTCATCCAGTCTGGCAAACCGAACAACTTGATCGGTTCTTCTCGACTTGGCCAGATACCCGCTCCGGTTGCTGTCCAGCCCATCATCGGCGGAATCGCTCCAACGACTGCTCCTACCCATGTATTGAGTACGCTAAATCTCTTCATGGGCGTGTATACTGCTGCGTATAGCACCATGTTCCCTATCCCGAGTGCTGCTGTGGTAGGGTTGCAGCCGTAGTAGAGTATACCACCTCCTAGCAAGGCGCAAGTCACGCCGAACACGGCGGCATGCCATGATGTGATCCGTCGAGCGACGAGCGGTCTCGAACGCGTCCGTGGAGTCTGAGCGTCTAGTGGCGATTCGACAATTTGGTTAAAGGTGTTCGCTGCAGCAGACGTCAGATACGTCCCCGTGGTAAGTGCCAGTAAGAGTGGTAGTGATAACGGTAAAGGCGACAGCGCGAGACCGGTTGTGGACGTCAGAGTCACCAAGACTGAAAGTCGGTTTTTCGCCAATTGTAGGTATATCTTGTACAGCCTCGATAACGTTAACGAAGGATATGCCTTATATGCATCCATGTCTTGAATCGGACGCTGGATTGGAGGCAAGTCGATATCCGGAAAGCCGGGCAGATGGTAGCGATACGGTCGTGGCATCGTGTGTGACCTTGAAGAAAGAGACTGCTGACGTATGTGTTCCTCGACTTCAAGGGTTTGCAGAGTGGGCCGTTCTTCGCTTTGTAGCGGTCTCTCTGGCGCTTTACCCTTCCAGCTCGGGGACCCTATTTGTAGCGCGAGAGTCAATACTCGATCAGGATCTGAGCACTGGAAACAATCTCGACAAACCTTGCTCTTGGGTTCCGTCCATCCCATTTGATCTGCGCAGCACCTGACCTTTGATCGCAGAGTCATTATTCCTCGCTCCGTTACTGCCAAAGAAGCCCAAATCACCGCCCACAGCTCCGCCCAAGGGCGATCTCACCGTCGAATCGTGCTGCAAGGGCGAAGCGGAAGAGAAATACGAGATCGGACCATTGGCAAAGGGGGGCTTGCCGTTTTTCGACAGGCTACAGGTTCGATTCAAAGTACCTGGTGTGCTGGTCGAGTATGTTGCGGACCGACAAGGCAGTTTTCGTTTCAGCAGGATTCGGCTGAATGGTTTGCTGTACTGGTTGTGGAATGTCGCTGACGGATACGATCGCGCAGTTGGGCAGCTGAGGAACAAGGACGCGATCCGCATCGTGGCTGAGGTGAGTCGCCGGGCCTGCTACGTGCAGGTTCGTTACTGCCACTCGTAAACTAGCAGGGACGTCGTAACTTGGGATGAAGACACGAAAGCAGACTCAACCTTGCTTGAATCTCGAGACGATACACGGAGAATTCAGACATGATCTCCGGCATCCAGAGTTGGCAGTCAGCGCGTGGGATGAGCTTTGCGTCATCTGCGCCTGGACCTTTCTTGTTGGGTCACCTGCCACAATGGCAGGTGAAGTAGAGCACGACCGACGACATGCATGCTGTGAAGAGTAGGACTTTCTCAGCGTGATTGCAGCCTGGGCAGAAAGCATTGGGAAAAAAGAGAAAAAAGAAAAGAAACGACCTCTCAAAGTTTCGCGTTTCACCTTGCATCATTTATCAAACCCCTTACAACAAAAGCAGATCATCAATCCGGCACTTTCAGGACAATAATTCCTATATCGGTCTCTGACGTCCATCGTATGTCAACAATATCACTTCAACACCATCACCATCTCCAGTATCTTGCAACATGTCACACCCGTTAGAACGAACAACCTCAAACTCCTCAGTCGGAACCGTCACCGGTCTGTCTGATCGAGAGCCCACGGCCGGCGCAGGGGGAGGTGGAAATGCAAAGACTCTTCGGTACCAGAATGCGTGAGTCATCGGTGTACACAGTCGGTTTTCGATAGCAGGACTTCTGGGATGACTGGTTCTGCCACGAATCAAGAGCCTCGATCAAGCGGGCATGTGCCATCCGAATAGAATTATAATGACTGATACCAAATTTCAATCCTAGATCCCTCGCTCAATCCGGTCAATCGGCCAATGTCCGAGGATTCCAATCCGACCCTTCATCCAATCCTCGCGGCGGAAATCGACTTGCCCAATCTGGACCAAACGAATACAGCGCGTCAAATGGGTCCGGAATAGGAGCAGTACGAGGTGGAGATCGTGAACGAGGGCATCATACCGGATATCCTCCCGCAGGTCATCAGTTCCCTGGAGGTCATCAGGCCGCTCAAGGGCAAAGGGGACAGGAACAAGGACAAGGACAAGCTCCCAGTAGTGGCGCCTCATCTGCTTCGTCGCAACAATCGC